CTACTGATTTTCTAAACTTATAAACAGAAGCTGCTCCTGAACCAAAGTCTAGTTTTAGTTGTTTTGTTGTTGCTGCAGAAAAACTGACGAGTCATTCAGGATACACAATTATTTATTCCATAAAATATTAAATACAAAAAAAGACGAGGAAACACATGGCTTTGACAATCCTGAAGTCGTGGCGAGGTCGGCTCTCCGTGTCCTCCGTCAGTCGCTTCGACTCGAAGCGTCCGGAAACTAAAAACCAACGAAGCGGTTTGAAGCTTCGACTCACCGAACCGCCGTCGACAAATCCCAGAAAGAAAAACACCAACCAGCTCGTGGTCTTGTTCCTTTGTGTAGAAAAACTCCCCCGCTGATTCAAACAGTCCCCATGAGATGCTCTTCTGACACTTTGACTTGGTAAAAGCTTCAGCCAGCAGCTTTCTTTGAAGCCTCCAGACAGACGGACGCTTTGCTGCTTCTCGTGAGATTTGTCGACGGTACAGAAAACATCAGATTGTTTCTCTACGATTCGGTCACACAGCGTTTCATCTGCAAAGCTCAGGTCAAAACGTTTTATTCTCTTTATTTAACACCATCGGCTCCTTCAGGTGAAAACACTGACATCCATTAGTTCCTCCAACTTCTTGTTTTTCTTCATCGGATGCATGTTAAGGTCCAACCTGCTGCTCATGAATTCAACTTTAGCGCCGCAAATATCGATTATTCTCACTGTTAATTAACCTGCTGATTATTTTTCTTTACTGACAGATTAATTTAATTTCTAAAATTGTAAAAAAAAATCTCAGTTTTTAAAAAAGATATTCAGTTTATTGTCATAGAAGAGGAAAACAAACCCCATAATGACAGAATTTAATCAAATTTTCTTACAAAAATCACCTAAAATTAATTAATTGCAGATTAATTTAATATTTAATAGCTAAAAGTGGAAGTTTTTTAAATATTTTCATTGCTGCTGTTTCCGTCTTTTAGCTTCTCTCCTGCTCCCTGTGCTCAGAAACCATAATTCAGTCACTACAGAGACGTTGAAATAAATCAATAAACAGTGATTTTTATAACCGTCTGACAAATTGAACCAAACGCGAGTTAAAAACTACATCTGTGCTGAGAGTTCAGAGACATTTCCATGTGAAAACGATCCTCGGGGAGAAACTGAGATGCGATAGAAAGTCCTGCTTTTCTCACATCACAAATGCAGCGAGAGTCTTCTTCCTGAAGGGGGCGGAGCTAACAGCAGCTCAGCCGCATTTAAAGCTACAGACACTGAAACAGTCAGTTCAGAACAAACTTAGGAGTTACACAGTTATGGAGAAGTTTAGTATTTTTGTTGTATTTTGAGGCAAAACATTTGATTATTTGCGAAATCAGGTAATATATGGGAAGTTTAGAGAGTCTTCTTCCTGAAGGGGGCGGAGCTAACAGCAGCCCGTTTACAACAAACTCAGGAGGAAAACAGTCACGATGAAATCTACCAGCTTTGTTGTATTTTGAGCTGAAAAAATTTAAATACTTGGCTTAATTTCCCAAAAAAGGAAGTAATATGGGACCTTCAGAGAGAGTCTTCTTCCTGAAGGGGGCGGAGCTAACAGCAGCTCAGCCGCATTTAAAGCTACAGACACTGAAAAAGCCCGTTTTGAACAAACTAAGGAGTTACACAATTATGACGAATTAAGCATTTTTGTTGTATTTTAGGCTGAAAACTTTAAAGGCTTTGATTATTTGTGAAATCGGGAAATAATATGGGACCTTCAGGGAGGCTTCTTCCTGAAGGGGGCGGAGCTAACAGCCCATAAAACAGTCAAGATGAAATCTAAAATCTTTGTTGTATTTTGAGCTGATTTTTATTTTATTTTTTAAAATACTTTGATTAATTTGCCAAAAAGGGAAACAATACGGGACCTTTAGGGAGTCTTCTTCCTGAAGGGGGCGGAGCTAACAGCAGCTCAGCAGCATTTAAAGCTACAGACACTGAAACAGTCAGTTCAGAACAAAACCAGGAGTTCTGGATACACAATATTAGAAAGGTAGTTTTATTGTTGTTGTATAGATTACGTTGATGTAACTGGAAGACATGTTTGTAGTTCTTTTCATCAAGTTTTTTACCAACAGGACACTTGTAAATATCACAAATTACATTTTCTCTGCACTTAAAAGAGAAACTGCTGCATGTTTCCGATGCAGTAAACGTTGATTACAGTTAAAAACAGCTTCGTTTCCAGACTGTTTCTGGAGCTCATCTGCTCACAAACACAGTTTCTTGCGTTCATCCTTCGACAGAAACGACCTTTACGGCTGCAGATGTTCGCTGTGTGATCAAAACGTGGAGAAACCAAACCACTCGCTGAAAGCAGCCACGCAGACGTTTGTCCTGATAAAACAGACCTACAGTACATTTACGATGGAATAAAACGTGAAGCTCCAGCTCCGATTTGGAAAGTAACAGGATTAATAGTGCAAAAAAAAAAAAAACAAAGTTTGTGTGTGAAGCTTTCATCGGTGCACCGTCCGGCCTGAGTGTGAAGAACATCTGTGGTTAAAGTGTCGTCCAGCGTCGCTCAGGGCCAGAATCAGGCCGTCGCTGTCGTTTGTTCAGCTCTGATTTCTAGAAAACCTTCTGGGCGAGACAACGTGAAGACGCAGAGAAAGAAAACAAACGCTGATGTGCTACTGCTGTCGGCTAGTTTGAGCTACAGGCTACAGGAGGGCTGCTGTGTTTCACGACTTTTAAAGGAAAAATCCGCCCGTTAAACCCTGAAAAGCAGCAGATTAATGATAGAAACTGATATTTCCTGAGTCCACCTGAATGCAGCAGGTTGGAGGAGACGTTTGGGACAATTCGGACTTTATTTACATCTAACGTGGACGTGAATTATTAAATCTAAAGTCAACAAAACGACATGTTTCTAGTTTTTCATTCTGCCGTTCACCATTTAAATGTGACTTTGGTGTAAAAATGGTGAAATATTAGGAGAGGAAAACTCCTTAAAGCTCATTAAACGTGTTGTTTTTCACCCTCTGAACTCTGAAGGCTTGTTAGGTTTTTAAAAAGAACAAAAAAAATCAAGATATTTTATCAAAATCACAAAAAACTTATTATCATTATTGTGTCGGCCATGTTTGGTGCTCAGAAAAAGGTGTTTTCATCTCCAATAAAGTGCAATCATAAACATTATTTGTTAGTTTTTTCAAATTTTGTGAATTTTCTCTAAAGAAAACTTCCACAAATCCGGCCTTAAAGGAGGCAGAGCTCCAACTGGAGGCTTCTTTCTGTTTAAAAAGGTATAAATATGATTAATTAGCTACTTGAGCGCAAAGAAAATCCTGTAAAAGACACTTGATTCATAAAGATATCTCAGGTTTGAAGGGCGGATTTTTCCTTTAACTGCTGCGTCGCTCACATCCAGACCGTCCTCTGAGCGCTTCAGGATCAGACTTTACTGTCGGTCAGTTGTAGAAACTTAAAGATCTTCTGTCACAGAGGAGGTAAGAAACGAGAGAACGTCTGCGTTTGAGACGATGAAACCAGAAGTTTTCCTTTTAAAACAACAACTAACCGGTTCGGCTCTCCTCAGGATGCGACTGTAGATCCGATCGTTCGTGTGCCGGTCCTCCGGCGGTCCGGTCCTCCGGTGGCCCGGTCCGGCTCCGTGGCCTCTCACAGTTCGTCATGGTTCCCACACTGAGTCCAGTGCGTTTGCATAAGTCGGCACCAACAAAAGTCTGACAGGTTCTCGTCCCACCGGAACCACTTTTTAAAATTTCAGGTCCCAGAATCCTTTGCAGCTTCAAGTTAGTGTGCGATAAAAACGAGTTCTTTTGGTCACGTGACTCGAGGCCATGTCGTCCCTTCGTCCTCCTCGCCGTCGTCTTCACTTGACGTCCTGGAAGTAGAGGTTGGCACATAGACACAGCAGCACGATGGACGCCAGCATGTAGTAGATCAGGTTCCTGAACTTGGGCTCCAGGTCGCCCTGCCGGTACCAGAATATCTGAGGAGGGAAACCATCCGTTAGAGGGATTCAGTACAGCATTTAGTAGCTACATTTCATGACATAAACCAGCCGAGTTTTCACAACAAAAATTAGACGCAAACTAAAAGAAAACAGTTCTTACGATTAGCTGAACTAATCTCATGTATTGGGCTAATTTAGCAGAAAAAAAATAGCACAAAAATTCAAATATTTGCAGGTTTCAGCGTCTTAAAGATCATATTTATTGTATGTCGGCATAAACTGAACATTTGAGGTTGTTTAGACGCTTCATAGAATTAACATGGATCATTAATTTTTTTAGATTTAATTAATGATGAAAATACTTCTGAAATAAAAAGTTCTACACATTTATAAAAATGCCGCGACTACGACTAGAAGGACAGAGAGCTGCTTTAGTGCAGAATGACTTCGATCCTTAAAAAAATTTAGAAACGAAACCTGAAAGTCTTTGATTATTTTACAAAAAAATTAGAAAATCTGTAATCAACAAGTTCAACACCTCCCTCAGGTGTCCACAGGTGTTACCAAAACTGGAGAAAATTCTCTACATACGACAAATATTTTACTATTTACTTTTTTCTCTCGACTCCACCTGATCAGCTGATCAGCTGTAGGAAGATGAAACACTTCCTGCAGTTCAACTGACTGCTGAGTCAGTCGTGGTTTGTTTTGTTGCGCTAAGAAGCGTCGACTTTTAGTTTTTTTTCCTACAGGATCTGGTACAAATGGCTCATTATTGGCAAAAGTTTGAGTTATTTCATGAAAATATCCCAAGTTTAAGCTCAGATTTGGTCGTTTATCCGGACAGAACCGCCACATACGAGCAGTTTTTACTGGTTGTCGTTTCAAACCCGTCGGCAGGTTTTGGGGTTAAAACGTTTGTGAACAAAACTGGGCGTTACCAGCACGATGGTGGAGCCACAGGCCAGCAGGATGCACACGGCGAAGAAGATGTTCAGCGGCCGAGGAGGCAGCGACGGGAACACGAAGGAGCCGATCACCGTCACCTGGAGGACAGACAGACGGCGGCGGTTAAATCAACACACAGATAGAACACTTAGCTTAGCAACCTGAGAACAGCTCTGACTCTGGACGGCCCGATCCTCGTCTCAAAGGTCTGGATCGGGGGGATTTAAAAGTACTTTTTCGCTGATGGATATGAGCACAAACCTGAACCAGATCATTTGTTTACATCTGCTATCATTCAGGTGTCGTAGTTTTCTTAATAATACAGTAAACCAATCAATAATTCAATACCTTACGATACAGATTCAGCCCTCTGGACTTTCTTTCTGGGCTGTTTTAAGACACACTGTTGGTTGGAGGTCATTAGGAGTCATGTAGGTCTTTGACATGATGCCCCTTCACCAGCTAAACAACCACAGCGCTAACATGGAGCTAACCGTTATCCAGAGAAGTGGCGTCCGCTATCAGCAGACGCTAAATAATCAACGACTCGGCTCAAATGGGGGAAAAAAAAACTTTGACTTGTGGCGTCACGTCATAATAAACAAACTGCAGGATTTTCTCTGTAGAGTCATAAACCACAGCGGAGGAGAGGAAACAGAGACAGGAAGTGGAAAGTAGAAGTAAAAACAGTTGAGTCATTGTTTTTGAAGTTCGTCTGCAAAGTCTGGAAGACGTTTAGAGAGTTTGAGTGACTCAGAAACAGATTTGTAGCTTGAAAATGATTCACTAAAGGGTTCAAGTGAAGCTAAAAATCAGCTGCATGACGTCTGGATTTAAGACTCTGAGTCGCTCCAAACCCGTAACTTCTGATCAAAGTCTTAATTAAAACACCTAAATTATTATACGTAATAACCCTTTTTATTACCGTTTTTGTCTTCTATAATAAACTAGCTGCATCAGAGTTCGTTAGCTCGTTAATGAGCAGCAGCGTTTTTATTCTGCCGCCACGTTTCTGAAGCTTTTCAGACGTTCTGGTTCCAGTCGACGTGAACCAGCAGAACCATTTCTGTTTACTCACTAGAACAACCACTGACGTGAATCCGCCCACGGCCATGTTGATGATCCGGTCCTGTGAGAGAGAAAAAACAAAAAACACGACTTTAAAACTCCAGTTTTAACAAACACGACGTTTACGACGCTCTGAGCGCTAACCTACAGCTCACAGCGATCTGATTAAGACGCTGCACGTTCACTGACTACTGAGGACTTCAGGTTCAGGACGAAGACGTCGAGTTCTCCAGTTAGATTTAACAAAACAACGTCTGATTTTAGTCACGTTAAAGGATGAAGCCTGTATCATTGTAGATTTGATGTATTTTAAAACCAACCTGGGATCCAGTTAGTGACGAACATCGATAAGATTTTAACGGCTTCTCTTACAGATACTGACTCACTTTTAAATGAAAAATGAATCAAATGCGGCAATAAAAGTCGTAATTAAGAACTTCTTCTACCTCTGATGAGCAAAATAAACAGATTACAGAGTTTGTGGGATAAAATGTTCAAGATTTAAAAAGAAAATCTATTGTTTAGTTTCTGCAGCACCGACAACAGAACTATGATCTTTAAAAGCTGGTTTCAGTTCCAACAAACATCAAGCTGGACGCTACAAGTTGAATTAGATTAAAAAACAACTTTTTATAAAGTTAAATGAACACCTAACATTTCTCAGCTCAATGAGGAATCACGAGAAACAACCTTCATCTAAATATCGAGCTACATATTCTGATTAAATCCAGCAGCTCAACGACCAAAACCTGAAACATCCATATATCTAATAATTCCTCTGATGCCATCAAGTGCAGCACAAACGTAGATTAATCCACCGTTAACAAGAGTCCCCAGAGATCTGTTAATGAGGAAATTAATGAGCTTTTGTTTTAAAATCAAAGTAAATATGTGTGAGATGAAAGGAACAAGGTAAGGAAGTCAGCTTTGGTTAAAACTAGAAAATAAAACCAGCTTTAGTCTTTAAAAATAAAGTTTAAACAGCTGCTAATAAATGGTTTTTAATGTAATAAGGTGTTTTTTTAGGGTGTTTGTGCTACAGCTGGTCTTTAAACTGAATATTTGAAGAGTTCATTTGCAAAAACAGATAACAGATAATAACAGATAACTCCGTCTCCACAAACCTTTAGAAACCCCATCAAACTTAACTTATCTCTATTGTTGTCGTCTCTACTGAGTCACATCTGCTCAGCTTCAGTCTGATTTTATCTCCAGTAAACAACAACAAAACAAGTTTTCTGTTTTTGCAGTTTTCTGTTTTTGCACATGAACTCTTTATTTGTTGTCTTTGCTGCTGAACTGAGACACAAACAGTGAATAAAAGCAGCACCGGTGCCGGTCCTACCCGGGCCGAGGTCTCCCCGAACAGAGGCCTGTTGTCCAGGCCGCTGGTGCCGTACGTCCTGGTGGTGAAGTCGTCCATCGCCGCCGCCGCCGCCGCCTCAGACTCGCTCCCAGCGCCGACCGGTGGCCTCTCAGCAGCGACGCCGCCTCCTGGACGCTCCGGGCCGCTGCCGCATGCTCGCCGGCCTGAATCCAGCCGCCTCCGTCAGCGCCGACGGAGCCGAGGCAGCATGACGGAGGGACGACCGGGACTGTCCAGACAGGTGAGGCTTCGCTACGCACCTGGAAGAACAACAAACAGACATTTAGTGTATAAAAGATTAAAGATGCAGCTTTTAGTCTGAAACAGTTTCTGTGAGCTGAGAGGTGAAAAAGGCTCAAAGAGAAATAAGAAAAAGTGATTTAAGATGTGAGTTCTGCTGCATGAACGTCATAAACAGACAATAATAGAGAATAAATAGCATGTGACTCAAAAACAGGAGCAGAATGAATGCAGACAAGAGAAAACTGTGTTTTTTAAAGCCTGACTGAGATAAACTGAGAAAAACCAGTTTAAATGTGAACAAACAGAAGCCTGACGGGTGTTTGAACAGATCCTTTAAAACATAAACGGCACATGAAGCAACAAACCAGCGATCCATCCACGGGTTTCACAGCTAAATAAATAAATATCAAACTGAACTTAATCAGCGAGTTAATCCACCGGGAAATAAACCTGCATCTGATGTTTGACTCATCAAATCATCCTTTAGTCATATTTTAAAGCACAAACAGTCGAATCAGTGTTATTTATTCAACACGTTTAAAACTACAGATGTCAACATAAAGTGATTTTCTACAAAGAAATGAGACAAATTTACAGAATAAGTTTAAATATTAAGGATAAAACTCAACGATATCAGATGATAAACACATTTATTTGATAAAAAACAGTAAAAAAACAACAAATATTTGCAGATTTCAGCGTCTCAAAGGAGAATTTTGATCATATATTAATATAAACTGAATATTAAGTGGACAGAAAAACTAAAGAGCAGATTAATTGGGCCTTTGAGCTTCAATTGAAGCAACTTTTTAAATTTTATTTTGCATATTTTTATATTTAACTTAACCAATAAAGTGATTTTTAAGCTCACAAAGTTAAAAACTCAACGATTCTTAATGATTTTACAATTTTGGCTGGTTAATGGTGTAATCTGGGTGATTATTTTCTAACGATGGCAGCTTGACACCAACAATATCACAAAAAAAAGCAAATAAAAGCTAAAAATCTGCAGAAGTCAGCATCTCAGATCAGAATATTTACCAAACGTGAAGGTAAACGGACACTTTCTTGACATCTGAATATGGAATTAATCAACAGATTAATCGATAATTATTATTAATAAAGAAAATGAATCAATTCTTCGTCACTAATTGGAGCTTCGTTGACAAAAACAAGTTGTAAAATCACTCAGAAATGAAGTTTTTTTAACTCTAATCCAACATAAACGTTGAATTTTCTTCAAATATCTTCTCATATCTGACATTAAAAAACAAAAACTGTCCAGTTTAAACATTTCTACTCTCAAACTGACTTTATATTTTTAAACAAATGGATCTTTAATTGATCATTGCTTCATGGATATTGTTCTACTGTATTTACTTTTTCCACATTTAAATATATTTAATGACCTTTTTGTCTTCTAGTGATTTAAAATTCTGATATAAATTAAAATAACAGCTGCCGAATAATTAATTTATTTTGATTTGTTGCTTCGTATTTTTTTCTGTCTCACATAAAGTAAATCAAACGTCTCTAATCAGACAAAACGAGTCGTGGAGACGTCGTTTTACTGTTTTATGGTGTTTTATGAACCCACAGACAACAGAACTGACTCGTATTTTCAGCCTCCAGCGTTCAGTCAAACGTCTTTTTAATATAAAGCACTTGTTGTGATTTTACAGTCCAACAGTTGAGGCCGTTTTCTCTCAGATTCACCAGAAGACTGATTTTAATCGTCTTCACTTCCTGTTTCTGGGGCCGATAACGAACCGCAGCAGCTTCCATCTCGAAAGAGGAAGTTTAAATCACGGCCGACTTTCTTCACCAGACGCCACGTTTAGAGTTTATCTGCAGCAGCTGCTCCGGATTTTTATCTGCTTTGTTTTTATTTTTGCATTTCTACTGTAAGAGTCGCGTCCGTTTTACTTCCTCATTCAAAGAGCAGCAAAGAGTCACAACAAACACCATGTTTATGCTGCTGGTTGCTGCTTTTCTGCAGCTTGATTCAGGAAAAGACGTTAAATCACAATTAAATTCCAACAAACGAGAAGCTTTTCATCTTTTCTGGTAAATAAGTTCGACGTTAAGAGATTTCAGACAATAAAAAAATATATTTTACAACAATATCAGGGTTTTATTCAGCCCAAATTGTTATTTTATATATTTGCAGTTATTTGACAGAAAAATTCAGGATATTAAGGATTAAAAACACAAAAAAATTCCAACGTTTGACTGTTAAATAAAACCGTTGTATTTAAATCACAGGAAAAATAATAATAATTTAAAGATATTTGTAAAAAAAAAAATAAAGTAAATAAAAATGTATATTAAGTATTTAAAAAATGGTAAATAAAGTTTTTTTTAAGCTGCTATTTTACAGATTTTTCCCGTTTAGTTTAAGCTAAAGATGATATTTAGTGAAATAATAGTAACAAAAAATGTATTAATTTAAACGTTTAAACTGTAAATGTCCACATGGAAAATCTGTTAAATTACATTATTGTATTTAAATTGCAAAAAAATAAAATTAATTAAAGATATTCGCTGTTATTTAAATAAATAAAAATGTATATTAAGGATTTTTGTTCCAGGTTTTATTAGTTTTGTTAAATTACAGATAACATTGAATAAAATAACAGAAAAAAAGGATAAATTTCTACATTAACCTTAAATTTTTTTCCCCCAAACTGTGAATAAAAATCTGTGTTTTTACTAAATCTGTTCATTTATAATAATTAGTTTCACTGCATTTAAATCAGCTAAATAAAGTTTTGTTTTCCAGATGTTTGCTGCTATTTTCACAGTTTTTGAAAGTATTCTAACCTTTCTCTTCTAATTTTACAGCTTTTTTTTGTCTATATACAGCGTGAATTTTACAGCTTCTTTCATAATTTATTTCCAGCGTGCATCTTGTCTGAAAGCCTCCTCGTCCTCTCGTATTGATTCACAGCAGATGGAAACGTTCTTCTCTCCATGCAGAGCAGAAAACACTTCAGGTTTCACTGCTGCTAACCTCCTGCATCCTTTTCCTGTTTGCACACCTGCAGGCGTCTCAAGTTCAGACGCTTCAGGCGTCAAACAGACTAAACGCTAAACGTTCTCACGGAGGATCGTTCAGGATGGAGGTGACGTGAGAATGAAGCCTCAACACGTCTGGGATCGATAGAAAAATCCTCCTTTCTCTGCCGTTGTTCTGCTCGTTTGTTCCTGTGCGGGTGAGACGGTGGCAGGAGAGGAAATATAAACCCTCGCAGAGCTTCCTCAGCACAAAACAAGAGCTTCGTTATGAAGTGAACCTGCCTAAAGCCACATTCCTGCTCGGCCTTGTGATCCAGTAGGCTTCTTAAAAACACACCCGTGACTTCACCGAGCTGGAAAATAATATCCTGAATCCTACAGAAACCCTGAAAACCAGAGCAGGAACGAGACGTTTGGCTCCCAAACGACGTCTAGAAACCAAGAAAACAACCTGATCTGACTGTAAATGATCAATTAATGCACTTTCTAGATCAGTCGGGTTTTTTATTTTAGAACACAGCAGCGACAAAAAGCTGCTAAAAGGCTTTAAAAACCTGAAAATATTCAACAAATACACATGTAGGAAGCTGGTTCTGACATTTTGATTAGAAAAATCAACGTTTCAGCTCAAGGAAATACAGAAAAAACTGAAAATTAGATGAATAAATTGACTTTTAATATCATTTAATGACTTTAAAAGACAGATATATGAATAAATGTAATTCTCAAATAGTCTCTAGATTCTGATTTAAGCTGTGTTCATTATTGTTTAAATTAATCGACAATTTATTGAAACTGTGGTGAAAAATCACCAACAATCCGATGTGCTGTGTTTAGATTTCAGCCCACAAGTTAAATATTTTCAAATAAACACGTTTGAGAAACTGGAAAAAGCAAATTTTCTGACATTTTAATGACAAAACTGACGAGTATCCGACTGTTTAGGTCAAAGTTAACGACATAAAAACAGCTAAAAGCGAAAATAAGGCGAATAAATTCATATTTAATATAATTTAACAGACTTTTTTTTGTTCATCTTCAATTTCCTGGTTTTTGAGGACGTTATCTTTGGCTTTAGGACACAACAATTTACCTTTTTCACCATTTTACAGACAAACAACTGATCAATTAATCGAGATCTAACGTTTATTTGTGGCTCTATGGATCAGCCTCAAAGAAAATACGTTAAAAACTCAAAGATTCTCCGTTTACGGCGACAGAAAAACAGGAAATTCACCTTAAAGCAGCTGGTTTGTTGATTATTAAATAAATCTTCTATCTAACTGGTAATAACTGGTCTGAGGTGTCTTTTTAATGTAATTTAACTTCTTTTTTAATCCAGTATTAACGTAGAAAGCAGCTCAGTTTCACTATTCACCCGCCACAGTTTGGAATATTTAACACCGTAAAATAAACAGGAAATACATAGTTTTGGGTTGTGGATAAAACTGGTGTCTAATATATTTATTTAAAGTAATATTTGAGAATATAAACATGAAGAAAATGGCTCAACCTCACTATTTAACACCTACATGAGTGACATGAGTGTTTCCTGGTGTCTAACGCTGTCTAAAATAGAGAAATACAGTAAAATGATCACTAATAGATCCTTTAAAGTCCTTTATAAACACTCTGTGTGTCTTAGACGGAGAATCAATAAATCAAAACTAAAGATATTCAGTTTATACTTCTATTAAAACATATAAAAGCAGCAGATTCACATTCAAGGAGCCGGTTACAGAGAATATGTGCTATAACAATGCTATAAAACAGCTTTTAAACTGGTTTAAAGTTTGATTTAATCACCTTTTAATCAATATAAATGTAAAGAAAACGGCTCAGTTTTATTATGAAGCCTCCACCTGAGTACAGGGACAGTTTAATGGCACCTGGTTACAGTTATAGAGAATATTTACTGTCATCGTTCTGCTTAAGGTTTGATTTAATCACTTTTAAATCAAGATAAACGTGTAGAAAATGGTTAAATCTCACTATTCACCTTCTACTGCAGTGATTTGACAGCTTCATGGTGTCTAATACGGTCTTTAATTAAAGTATTAGTCACGATTTGATGTCAGAATTCTTTAAACCAGCTTTTAAACTGCTGTGAACTGGTTTCAGGTTTGATTTAATCACTTTTTAATCAAGATAAACGTGTTTAAAACGTCTCAGCCTCCCGGTTCACCTTCTGTCTGAGTGACTTGACAGTTTAATGGTGTCCAGTACTGTAAATTAATACAGAAATAAAGCAGAAACAGAGCTCGTCCTCTGCTAAACACACACAGATGTAGTTTATAAACGCAGCATTAGCAGGAAAGTCAGGCAGCGACGCAGCAATAATCATCCATCTCCTGCGTTAGCATGTAGCTCCTCATGCTAACAGCAGCCGAGAAAAGCCTCCAAGTTTCCCCCAACCGGCCGCTGGCCGTCCAGGTTCACTCACCCCGGTGTCACCGACCGTCCGCCGTCGTCAGGAGGAAGAAAACACCGAAATCCCGGCGATACACGTCGGTGTCGGTGTAATTAAACCGGCATAAACACCGAGCGCACAGATAACAGCTACCTGCACCGACGTTAGCTAACCTGAGCCCCGCCGGGCCGAGCTAACGAGGCTAAGCTAACCGAACCGACCGCCGCCCGGCCGATCCACGGGAACCGATCCGGTGAGGAGGACGGGGCTGACGGGCTGCGGTGGGCTCCGGGGCTCCGCCGGTGTGACTCCTCGCTGCCGCCGCGGAGGAAACTTCCGAGAAGCGGGCGGGCAGGAGGGTCGCTCTTAAAGGCAATAAGCCCGGCAGCGCCACTGGGAGCCGTTAAAGGCGACGTCAGGCGGCGTTGAGCCGACAGCGGCGCCGCACCAGAGTCCGTTCAAGAATCAGGACATTTAACTGCGGATTATAACCGGCGGTCAGCTTTATGAAACGACTCAAAGACACTTTCTGACCCACGACACCTAAATTTGCGATCAAATAATATTATAAACTACAAAATAAGGATGAATTTTATGAATAAATCACAACTCTGAGCCCCGGAGCTGCAGTTGGAGCTGTTAAAGGCGAGTTCATCACAGCGCTGCGGCCCACCAAAGTCAGTGCAAAAAACAAGACATTTAACAACAACATGAACTGTAAATATCCAACTAGTTTAAACCGAGAGTCTTTTAAGTTTGAAGTTAATTAATTTCTATAATAAAAACAGTGTGGAGTCTTAGCTTCAATATTTAAATTAGTCAGGTACATTTGTTTAATAAACTTAATTTAGGTAGATTGGTGTTTATTTCTAATCCTGTGGGACATTAATACTTCATTAAGTCATATAATAAATATAATAAATAAAACTACAGGGTTTAAACATTAATATTTAAAGTAGTTTGGTAAAGCTGTACGATATTAGTGAATAATATTATAGTAATTTAGCACTAATTTATATCTTAAATATGACTGAAGGTTGTTCACTTTCATATTTAAATTTATGTAAAAATACTGTTTTAGAGTCTTCACCTTAAAATGTTAATTCATTAAGTAGGTTAACATAATATATTAAATCTGAATCTTTAAATTAATCAAACAAATGTGTAGAATTCATATAATATTGTGGTCTGAGTTGTGAAGTTTATTATTTATTATTTAGATAAATGTGCAAAATATGTTTTATTTAATATGTTTTAGGTTCTTGACCTAAACATTTTAATTAATAAATTATAAATAATATTGTTGAGACTTTACCTTAATAATTCAATATTTTAGCTAATTTTAAAAATGCATTATTATTGTTAATAATAAAAATACAAAATAAGAATAAAAAAATAATAATTTTTTAAAAATCAGATCATGGTGAATTTTTTTTTAAAGCCCAAACATTCAAATAATATTAATAATATTTATAAATGTGTTACCATAATACAATAAATAAAGCATAAAATGTAAGCTTGTTCTAATATTATGTCTTTATTGGAAACTGTAGACGCAGTTTAATGTTTAACTTTGACAGAAACATGAAATGATGAGAGTTTGGTGTGAAAGTTTCAGCAAACAACACAAACTGTGACTAGTTTAGATTCTTCTCTCAGCTTATATTCACTGTTTTACTCACTGACTGTGATTTATGCTGATAGAAAAGCATCATCACAGCTTTATGTCTCAATTAGAAGTTAATCAGCGTCGCTGTGTCACATCAGGCCGGTTGAATAAATCTGAGCTGAGAGCAGCGGTGAAAGTGTTTCTAATCTGGGCCTGATGTCGGGTCACATGTCCACAGTGTGACGGATTAAACTGAGCAGAAGGAAAAACTTCAGTCACATTTCAAAGCGGTCACGAGTGAACAGCCGTGAAATCCGTCCTCATTAACGTCTGCGGCCGGACACAAGAATGTTTCTGCTGTTTAAACCAAGTATTAAAAACTAAAAGCCGCGAACAAATTAAGAATCATCCAGAACAAACACGGCAGAATTTGATTTTCTTCCTCTTTAATTTAATCTTCTTTGCTGCTTTCAGCTGAGGCTCCTTTTGTGGCTTCTTAATTGAGCTTTAATGTCTCTGAACCAGCAGAAAAACTGATTATTTAAAAGTTTAACTGGTTTTTAAAATGATTCTGCTGAAGGACAATAAGGCTGATCTACTGTAAGATGCTTCTGGGGCAGAAAACAGCTGCTGAAATACAGATGTGTTGAAGAAAAGTGTCGTAGTGCAGCGAGCTTTACTGCAAATTATGATATAAACAGTCTAAATCTGAATCATGAAAAGTCAAAATCATACATGAAAATATTACATTTGAGTTACTGAGTCAAAATTCAGAAATAAAAAGTTATAATAATGCAATAAAAAGTCCAAATTGACTAAATTAGAATAATAAAAAATTAAAAAGTATGAGATAAAAGTTTATATTATGAGACAAAAAGGCTGCATTTGATTCAAACTTTAACTCACAAAGTCAAAATCACCAAAGAAAAGTCTTATTAAAAAAAACCCCACAGAATGAAAAGATGCCACATGCACCTCAAACAGAAGACACAGATGTTAAAGGAGACAATCTGAGCTACAAGAAAATAAATATTTTAAAACAATACATAATGCCTGAGAGCCTCATATCACATCATAATTTGAGCTGTCACCCGCGTGACTTATTATTAAAAGTCAAAATGTTCATATAAAAATGGAAAAAAGACCTCACTGAGTCAAAGATGTGAGATAATAAGTTCAAACTGAGAAAGAACATTTTGAAAAAGTCAAAAATGTTGAAATAAAATGACAAAATCTGACTTAATAAGTCAAATTCAGCAAAGTGACTAAAGTGGAATTATAATGTGAGACAGTTGGTTAAAACTGAGTCATGTGACGTCAAAATCTAGAAACAGAAACTCAGAATTTACCATTGTGGAATCACAAAAAGTCTAAATTGTGAGATGGTAAGTTAAGATGTTGTTGATATATAGTTTGACAACATGTGACTTATTAAACATCACAAGATAAAACTTGCATAATGGGATTAATGGGCGAAATGAGCAGATTAAAGTTCAAATGGTGAAATAAAACCTCAAAGTAATGATATAAAAAATCTAAAGTGACTAAACCAGACTTCTATAAAATTACATTTATGAATTAAAAAGTTCAGTTTAGTCAAAACTATTAGAAACTGAAATTATGAAGAAAACAGTGTGAACAGCAGGAGGCGCTGTTTCTGTGATGTCATCTGAACTGCCGTTTAAATAGCCGTAGAGGAAGAACAGCTGCCTCTGCCCGTAATGATCCGTAGAAGAAGAGCAGCTTTAAAGGACCGTAGAAGAAGAACTGAATCTGTGGGCGGGACAAACAAACAAACAACCTGACGGCGGAGATGTTCCTCTGAGTTTATCGCGTTTATTCGGAACAAACTCATGATTCATTTCCGGATAAATCGGCTCCAGGTTCGGCGGCAAACATGAGTTCGTTCGCGGGGCGGATGAAGGAGTACCCGACCGTGTCTCTGGACCGGTTCGACCGGGAGAACCTACATGCCCGGGCGTACTTCCTGTCGCACTGCCACAAAGGTGAGCCGCAGCTAGCTAGCATCCTCAGAGTTCATAACGTTTAGTGTTTAAAGTGACTTTAATTCCTGTTTACTGTCAATAGACCACATGAAGGGGCTGAAGGGGCCTCTGCTGAGGAGGAAGCTGCAGTTCAGGTGAACGCTGTTGATATTTATTCTAATTTAAATGTCTGGTTTTAATCTAAAATGTTAAATAAACTGTAATTTAACTCTCTGACAGCAAGTTTTAACACCACAGCAAACACTAAACACCTACAAAGGCTCATTTGTGCCTTTAAAAATAAATATAAAGCACTTTGGTCCAGATAAACAGACATGCTGATGATAAATTAATATTTGTTTTTTACTCAGTAGGTCAGATTTTGTTATAAGAATAAGCTAATTAAGAGACAACAAGTCCAGGTTTAGATTTACAAGCTGGAGTTATGGATTAGACATAGTTTTAATCTAAATATCATGACATAAAGCTGCAACTGTGAGATTAAAAAGTGATGAACACATGATGATAAACAGACAAAACTGTGAGATATAAAGTCAGAACTATTAAAAGCCAAAATTACGAGATAAAAAAAATCAAAATTTAACTTAAATTGTCAAAATGAGCTACAGCTAAGGAGATAAAATGCACAAAATCAGAATTACATAAAGTGAAAATGATCAAATAAAAGTTTAAGTAATGAGATAAGAGTTCAAATTATGAGATAAAATGTGGAGCGTGGCTAAAATGCAATTATAAAGAGTCTAAACTATGAAATTAAAACATCAAAACATACTGTACTGTGTACAAAAAGCCAGAATTGTGAGTTTAAAAAATCCTAACAAGTCAAAATTAAGAAATTCTGTCAGTTATGAGATAACATGTCAGAAGTATAGTTTATCTAATGTAATAAAAAGTCTGAATTTGACTGACTACAAAAAATATTTTCGAATAATAAGTCAAAATGCACTAAAACAGAATTATAAGAAGTCAAAATATATTAAATTTGAATAATAAAAAGTCTAAATTTGGGACAAAAACTGAATATTGTGCAAATAAACCAATAAATTCTGAGCATCAATGCCAAAAACAAGACTGTCATGAGACTGACGAACCAAACTTGAGCTTAAGTTTCATTTTCAACTTTTCATCTTCGAGGTCGTCTCATTCCAGCGTCACTTATTTAGTTATGTAGTTTGAAATAAGAGTCATAACAGGTCAACATTATGATCTATGACGGCTAGAATACTAAATGGGAATTCTAAAAAGTCAAACTTGTGAGATACGTTAAAATTGTGTAAAAAAAAAAAAAGTAGAAATTAAGTTAAAATTATCTGTTAAAAATCTAAATGATAATTATCTGAATTATAAAAAGTAAAAATATTTCAAAATCACAATATCCATGTTTGTGTGTGTTTTTGTTATTTAACTTGATGTAATTAAAAAACAGTTAAAATAAAAAAATAAACCCCTATGAGTCTAATAAATTCACACATTTTACTAAACTTACTGTGAGTTTAAAAACCGAGTCATCAGTAGGAAAATAAAACATGAATTTAAATGAACGATAAACTACAGAAACCTGAACGCTGTTTCTTGTTTCCAGTCGTACCGTCAGACTTTACTGCTCCTTCGTGACCAAAGAGCTTCTGCTGAACAATCCAAAGTACTCGTTCTGGGAGGAATACATCGTGAGTCCTTTATTTATATCTTCAGACTGAATCCATCACGTGTTGAAAGAACAGAAACTGGACTTTAGTTTCCTCATCATGTCTCCTGATTATTATTTGTTTCAGGTTCCTCTGGAGCTGGAGAGTCCGACTCAGATTTCTCTCGTGGACGAAGCGTCAGGCGAAGTATTTACCGACCGCCCTCTGCTGTGACTTTAGTTTGTCTAGTTTTAAGGTTTTAGATGCATCAGTAGAGAGATCACATGGGTCAGCGCCTTGAGTCTATTAAACTTAAATATTAATAAACACAAAAATATGAAATTATAGTTGCAATGAACTTAAACTGAACTTAAGCAGCGTGTTGTTCCACCAGCTGTTGCTTTAAATGTTCTGTATAACTTAACTTGAGTCGTTTGTTTTGGTGTTTTCGTGGCAGAAAGAGGAGGTCGTGGTGACGCTGCTGGCAGCCGGTCACTGTCCAGGCTCCGTCATGTGAGTCACATCTAAGCGTTCCTTTATCATCCATAAGACAACATACATCTGTCCTCATAGAGTTCTGTTTGCTTTAGCTGTTGTGTCTGAACAAAGTCCATTTATGAACTAATTATTACAAGATAACAGCGGAAGATATTAACATTTTATCAACAGGACGACCGTGTGGAGAAGCTGTTGTGATGTTTTGTTTGTTTATTTGTTGTGCAGGTTTCTGTTCGAGGGTTGCCGCGGTAACGTCTTGTACACTGGCGACTTCAGGTTCGCTGCCGGAGACGCGTCCAGGATGGAACATCTGCACTCAGGCAGCAGGTAGGTCCCAAATACAGGTGTTGAGTTTCACATCGTCACAGCTCCTTTAAGCTCAATCATCCACCGTTTGGTGTTTCACAGAGTTAAAGACATTCAGAGCGTTTATCTGGACTCCACTTTCTACGACCCGCGCTTCTACCAGATACCCACCAGGGTGAGTCTGATGTTGCTACATAGATTTACCATCTGTGGGGTTTAGGGATGATGTTTATAATTTAATCAATTAAACATACATTAATAGGAAAAGAAGAAGGTCGCACATGTCAGAAAACGTATCGTAGACCAGCTGCAGTACCTGGTTGTTCCACCAGGTGGAGCCTCTTCATGTTTAATCCTGTAGAGACCAGAGGAGGCGTCACTCAGACTACAGCTCATGGTGGCAGCAGAGAGCATTGTGGGAGTTTAACGAGACCATGACAGAGACTCTGAGGAGGTTCATGACCTCCAACTGGATCTCAAACTGGCGCCGTCAGTGACTTATTCACGTTAGCCCGTGTTGTGGCCGATGATGCAACGTATCCGTCGACTCAAATATAAGGAGGAACGATGTTGGTATTGATTAGTTGGTTATTGATTGATTATGCCGGCGATTGTTGGTAAAGAAAATGATTCAAAATTTGCATCCGTAGTGTGATTTCTGGAAGATGTTTTAAGAATCCACAAAATAAATTCTACGGTTAAGACGCCAGTTTATTAGGTACATCTGGCTACAACTTCTTTTCAGTTTTTGTTGATTCAACTTGAATATTTTTGCAGGTCTCTATCAACAAAAGAAAATTTTGGTTGATTGTAGTCGTACCTGCTCTTCAGCGAGTCGATCGGTGGTGATTCCTGCACAAGAACTATTGAGGAATAAAACACAGTTAGCTGCTGTTTCTAGATGATCTGACATGTTGGTTTACACTCAATGTTTTGACTGTTTGTCTGAAATGCAGCCTCACCGACGACTTCTTCGACGTGATGTCAGTTAGTTTTCTAACATGCCTACATGTGCGTTATGAACGTTGTGTTTACAGGAAGTGTGTCTAAACGGCATCTCGCAGCTCATCGGAAACTGGATCGGCCAGAGTCCGCATCACGTCGTGTGGCTCAACTGCAAAGCTGCGTACGGATACGAATACCTGTTTACCAACCTGGGAGACGAGTTCAACACGCAGGTGAAGCACCGACGCCTTCAGCAAACACAGGAAGCTTGTTTACATGGAGCTGCCAGGCAAAGTAGAGTCTGACTTTTGCCAGAAAACAAAAAAATAGAACACAAATTAGTATTCATACGTGTACAAATCCATGCAGTGTGACAGCTCAGGTGAAGCTGTTTTTACTTTCTGCTGTTTCCTTTGTTCCTGCAGATCCATGTCAACAGTCTGGCCATGTTCAAGAAGATGCCGGAGATCCTGAGCTACGTCACAACCGACCGCCGGACTCAGATTCACGCCTGTCGACACCCCAAGGTAAAGATTTAGTATCGAAAACAGTCGAGTTTCCGTCACTTCAGAGGACTTTACTCAAGAGTTGTTCCTTCTGAAATCATCCAGTTCTTCTCTGATTTGCTTCAAACATTCTTTATTATAAACTATTTAAAATAGTGTCCATGACGTTTTAGCTCCGTATATTGAGTGTTTTCCGAGGTACTCTTGTTGCCCGTCGACCTGCTTTCTGCACATTTGAGAAACGTTTGAGTCTATTTGAACAACAACTTCTCAGAGACTGATAAAGATAAAAACCTGAAATCTTCACTGCTGTTTCTCATCATGTCATCGATTCAGAATCTATAAAACTGGACGAGTCGATCGAATCACCTCTGATTATGGTCGAGCTGAAATATGTAAACCTAAACAAAAAAACCTGATAATGCAGAAGTCAACTAGTGATAATTCTGAACCGTGTGTAGCTTTGATCATAAAAGTGGACAGAAAGTCATTTTTGTTGAACTCTCATAACTGAGTAAGTTTGACAAGTTGTACCAGGAAAACAAAAGCATTTCTAGAACATCTGATCCAAGCTGAACAGACTTGTGGAGTTTTAAAATGGTTTTCCAGATATATCCGAGATAATTAACTGAGACTGTCGTTCTCTGATCCCAGATGGAATCATCCACCTGGTTAGAAAAATAGTCTTTGGTGGTGCAGAAAGTTAGTTCTTGTACAAGAACACAGAAGTGCTGAGTCTCAGATGAGTGTTTTCTGGGTTGAGTTGGGTGAAGATGTCCAACAGAGCCACGGTTTCACATTTTATTTCTGTAAAAAGCCTCTTCTGATAAAGAATGTGGAGTTTTTTTGGTTTCATCTGGGTGTTAAATTAATGATGTTTTGTCGTTTAGACAGTTGAAGCTTTTATGTCCTCGTGGATTCATTCAGATGTGACTGCAGATTAATTAACTAGATGTGTGTTCATGTGATGACTGTGATGTCACGATACCAGAAACTTACCAACTGAAGTCTACAGCTCTTGAATTATCAATCAGTAAATCAGTCAGAGGAATGTTTGTTTAAAAGCTGCCAGAATGGACGTTAATGACGGTACGACCAACCTCGTCTGACGAGCTGTTGCTGTGTTTGAGAAGCTTGTACGTGGAGCTTTGCTTCAGCAGATGCAGCTGACAAACTGCCAAATGTTCCAGAGGAGGAGGAAGGAAGTTCTGAAGCTCTGACCCAGCAGGTGCAGCGAGATCCAGGAAGCTTCTCTGGGTTTAAATGGTGCAAAGAACCACATGAGGAAGGACCGAGGCCCCGTCTAGTGTTTCAACGTTCATTCATTAGACTGTCTGTGTGTTTCTGGGTCTTCATGCAGGACGACGAGTTCTTCCAGGGCAACAGGCTTCCTTGCGGCTGCTCGGCGGCCGACGGGACTCCGCTTCGCATCATCAGCATCAAACCGTCCACCATGTGGTTCGGAGAGAGAACCAAGAAGACCAACGTCATCATCAAGTAGGAGCTCACGTTGAATAATTAATAGAAGATGAACTAAATGTGATGTATTAGGAGCTAAACGTGTGTTTGTGCTGTTTTTCTGTCCAGAACAGGAGCCAGTTCATACCGAGCCTGTTTCAGCTTCCACTCGTCCTACTCAGAGGTTGGTGGTTATGGGTTGTTTTTTTTAGGTTGAGGTTTTTAGAAGAACTGTAGGACACATTCACAAACTTTCTCCAAAGCAAAGCTGCTGAGAGACACTTTTTCTATCAAGTGTTTGTGAATTAGTTTGACTTAATACGCAGAAAAGCAACAAGGAAATGGAATAAAATTAAACTTTTTATCTATAAAATGTACGAAGAAAAGTGAAAAATGCTGAATTATTTACCTGAAGAGCAAAAAGAGTTTCGTATTTTATAGATTTTATTCAACAAACAGGCAAAAGTCAAAGGAAAAAGCTCAAATTTCTAATAGATCTGCTGCAGAGAATAGACTTTATTCCAGTTAGTGAAATAATTAGACTAAAATAAAATACACTAGTGTAAGAAATGTGCAGACAAGCTGAATATTCAGTCGCTAAAGTAATTAAATTGTAAAATAAATTATGTGGAACAATTGAGGCTGGGAGGCTTAAAATTTGACATAAAATAGAATAAAAAGAGCAGCTGCTGTATTTTTGGTGCATTAAAATAAAATAAAATAAAAGCAGTTCAGATGAATATTGAATCAGTTCTGAAAATAAAAATTTAATTTTCCAGTGAAGGATTCTTTGGATTTGTTTGGCTTTTGTAGAATCTTAACGCTGATATTTAATGTAGTCAGCATCTGGTTAAAGTAAACCAGTTTATTTATGTATTTGTTTCGTTAAAACCTTCTAATGTTTCTGTTATTTGTCAGCTCAGAGACTTCTTGACGTATCTTCAGCCCATCAACATCCATCCCAGCGTCATTCCCATCGGTCGCACGCTGACGGAGGTCACGCAGATGTGAGTCCGGGTCGATCACTGATCAATCAGTAATTGATTTTCTAGCAGATTATTTATAAAATATCGTAGTGTTGTAGCATCGTTATGAAGCTAAACGATTATCAGACGAAGCCGAGTTTCTGAATGTCTGACTTTGTTCAGGTTGAAGCTGATGTGCAGGAAACCGTCGGATCAGGAAGCGTTCGTTTACAAACCTCTGGGAGTCTTGAAGCGCAGCCGGCCGGAGCGACCCACATACGGTAACACAAACACAACAACAACCTTTTAATGTTACGATTCATTCAGAGCTGAGCGTCTGACTCACAGGACAGTAAATACAAGGCGACGCTTTCAATGAGTCTTCAGCGACTCTTTAAATTGTCCAGATGAAGAATCATCCAAACCTAAACCCAATCCTTTGTCTGCTGCTACATGTCGTAAAAAGAGAGCAGCATTTCTGACGGGGTGTGTTGGAATTTTAAGTAGTTCTTGATGACAACAAAGCGATCAGTTGTTTCGTGCTGATATTACATCAACAGTCCGTCCCAGAGATCCAGAAACAGCGTCCTGGTTGGTTAAGAGCTTAACAACGAGGTTCCTGAGCACCAGTAGAACATGAAGGAGGAACTTGGATGTAGAATGTAGATTTATTTCTTAATGCATTGCAGAGCTGCTGAAGTTTCAAGTTCATATACAGGCTCATATGTAACTTAAAGTGTTGCTATTGCAGGTATTAGTTGTTTTTTAAAAACTGAACCACCTGCACTAACGTCAGTATTTACTAACTCTTTAGGAAACACTTTTAAGAGTCTTTATTTAAACTACTGTGACCAGGTGACCCGTTGTACTAGTTGTCTCTGACGGCGTTCCAACATTCATACATCCGTACGATATAGTGCGCTACAAGAACATATGGTACGTCCATCAAATGTAGAAATATAAGCGTACAAGGCAGCACACTTCCCTGACCCACGATCCTCTGTTTAGTCAGGTTGTCCCACATGAGTATCAACGAGTTTGAGCCGATAGACAGACAAAGTTTTAAGTGAGTTATTATGACGGAGTCCTACGTCTCAGTCGTATACATACTGCATTATGATTAGGGAGGGTAACTGTAGTACGTATGTGAAGTTAAACAGATAATTAAATTTGGAACGCAGCCTATGTTGAACTTGGGTTGTAGTAGACCAGCAGTACCTGTGGACAGGAGCTATTATTAGTTTTTTACCTGTTTCTGTGTTTGTTTAGGTCCATAAAACACCAATACATGGTTTAGTAATCCTTTAATACCAAGTCACTGTTGTCTGTCACTGTGTTTTTGTTTCTTGGGACGGCGTAGTCAGGTTTACGTTTGTGTTTCTACGTTCAGACTCGGACAGTGAGGACGAGCTGTTTGAAGGTTTGGATCTGGCTCCAGTCAGGAAGAAGATGGGGCTGAGGAAGGACGTTCAAAAAGGTCTGAAGCTCTAGTATTCATCTTTATCAATAAAATAAATAGAGTCCACGCATCTGTCAATCTGCAGTTTGTCTTGAGTTTGAGAATTTAGCTTCCGTCTGACACCAGATCTTATGTCTTTACTGTAAAAGCCAAGTTTTACCACCATTATTGGTAAACTTCCCTTGTTGTGTTGACTTCAGAGAACCTCCCAGAGACCACAGCACCTCCGGTTTCTGTGGAGGAACCTTCGGCTGTGACGCTAACCGACACTCAGTCTGTTAGCTGCAACTATGTCGACTGCACCGAGTCCAATGGCGAAGACGAGGATGAGGAAGATGAAGGAAAAGACGTGGCGGCCAATTCTGAGCCTCCGAAGTGGGACGACTTCTTCACCACGGAGATGCTGCCCGACAGCCAGAACAGCCACAACAGCCAGAACAGCCTCAACAGCCACAATAGCCAGAACAGCCTCAACAGCCAGAACAGCCACAACAGCCACAACAGCCACAACAGCCACAACAGCCAGAACAGCCACAACAGCCAGAACAGCCAATCACAGTCCTCCAGGATGAGCGGATCTGAGACTCCCGAGCTGTTCAGCGACAAAGACGAAGAAACCCCCGACATCACGGACGACTTCAGCTTGACTCTGTCCGCCTCTTTGTCCAACCATTCCTCCCAGAACATGGACTCTAGTCTCCCCGACACCCTGATCCTCCATCCAGAGCAGCAACGAGGAGACGGGTCGACCAGAACCCTCGAGGACGAACCGTCGGCATCTCAGGTGTCCTCAGACTTCGACATTCCCTCCACGCCTGAATCGAAGGCGCCGCAGCAGGACGAACTGTCGCAGCTGTACAGGAAACTGGCTTCCGGAGAGGAAGTGGAGATGAGGAAGGGCTCAGCGGTGTCCAGGTGAACGTTAAAGTGGAAAATCTGCAGCTCCTGAAATGACTGGAGGTGAGTTTTACCAACGACTAGAGATGTGTTGAATGATCAGTTTCAGGTACATGGATGGAGACATTCAGTCGGACAGTATCAGCCTCACATGTTGGTAAAGTTCAACATGAAGACAACTAATAGCAATATAAAGACCACCTTGTCCACCAGTTTCTGAGCTCCTACAAATCACCATTTAGTGGACATTACTTTTTACTGTTCTATTCTAGCTACTTATTTGACTTTAGCAACGTATCATACTTACATCTTACTGCTTTTTAATTCAAGGCGTTTTTTTCTGAGCAGTATTCAGCACAGGAACTTCCTTCAGGATTATTAAAGTCTGATCTTAGATTTACAAAGACAAAAAACTGAAGGCATTTCTAGTAAATCTTTTATTCTTATTACAAAAATTCGTAGCAGTTATTTACATGTTAAACTCCAACACTTGAACCACGAAGATTTAAAAGAGCGGAGGTGCGTTAAAAAAGAAATATCACATCGTAAAACATGAGAGTAGCAATGAAAAGACATCCAAATGGTCACTTAGATTCCCTCTGCTGCTCTGAGTGAAGCTTCTGTCTTACTGCAATAAGACTTTAAGGTTTGAGTTCAGTTTATTTTTGCAGATGTTAAACAAACATCCGCATGTTAGCATTTAGCATTAACCACAGCTTTGACGGTGCAGCTCTTGTTCTTTAGGAGCATCTTTTTTATGGAAATCTCACCATTTTTACTTGATGTTGAGCAAATTCCCTCTATCTCATGTCAACACTTTCCTCCTGCAGCTGCTACCGGACACCAGAATCCTCCATCTTGTGCCAGTCGGCCGCTAAAGACGCCATCGAGGCCGAACGTCGAGCTCCCGGAGGAAGCTTCTACTGCAGCCTCGTCACACCTGAGCTGCTTTCAGATTCCAGGTTGACGCTGCTTCTACAGAATTCAGTTAAAGCGGGAGGAAGTGACGATGCTGTTGAAGTCCTCGGAGGAGATGCTGAGACGCCAGATTGTTCTCTGCTGGGTTTATCATGACGACGGCGAGGACGTGATGGACACCTGCCTGCAGGGTTTCATCGCCTCCATCCTCGGGGAGCATCTTTCACTTTAGAGACAGAGACATGAGTCAGAATGCGCTCTGGTCTGCAGTCAGTCGTCTCCCATCTGCTGTTTGATGGATAGAGTAAATGTTAAAAGGACAAAAGTGCATCTCAGTGTTTCTCTTCTTGCATTAGCCTGTACTAGCAGTTATCATTGCTCTCATACATTCCAGGTCTCATTACATTTGATTCAGGACTTGTTACTGTCATGCACTTTGGAAGAAGTTAATAAAAGTATTTAAGACACTTTTAAAGCATCTTCATTTCACTGCCTGATTTCTGCTTCGACAAACTTAGACACAAACATCTTCGTATCACGGATAGTCCGGGTATTGGATTCAAGATTTGCCAAGTATATCCATCAGTCAAAAACATCATAGTTTAGTATGTCGTAAGAAATGTCCTAGAAGTACCTTC